AGAAGAATGGAGCATTAATTAGTATTCTCTGCAGGGGGAACTGCCATTAGCACTTAATTAGAAGTAAGAGTACCATTCAGCAGAGCAGCCAGTTAGTGTGTTTTCTGTCTGAGTCATGCTGAAATATTGCTGAAAGCCCTCTTGCCATTTGTCTTTACAGGAGTTTTATTTCTATACAGATTTGTGTGTGTGTTTTTTTTTTTTTACTTTGTTTAGTTTTTGAAGCATGACAGGGTAAAGATGCAATTGCTTATTGCCTGATTACATATAGAACAAAGCAAGAGGAGCTGGTTCAACCACACCAGAACCCTGTGCTCCCATGCCTGCATGCTTCTGTAAGATTTGCTTTTGTCTACTTGCTGCTGTTGACCTGCATGAGGTTAAATGATGGTTTCTTGGTCCGGCGTGGTAAAAATTGGGTGGTTAGTGAATCCAGGTCAACTTCTCCTATTGGTCATGGGGAAGTTTCTTTGATCTGCTGAGTAGGCATTTAACTTTTTTCTTTTCTCTGTCCCACATCACCACCACTGAGGAGGACAAGGGAAGCTGTTAACCCACCTCGGTCCACTACTCGGCCTCCTCGGTCCTCCGCTCTTACACTTTGCTCGTCCTTTTCTCTAATCCCTGCCCACCCTGACGGCCCCTCCGAGATCCAGGGTGAACGCTGGTAAAGGCGCCTTTTCTTTTCCAGCAATCTGAGAGGCGGAGAGCTGTCATTTGCCAATTTGGCCTGAATGGGGCGGATAGCGGATTGAATGTCGTTTTCCCACCAGGCTGCACCATCCAGACCAGCAGGGGAGGGAGGGGGATGTAGAGAGGAGTGTAATGCTAGAGTAAAATTAGAGCTTTGATGGCAGCTAATAGTGTGTGATGGGAGGCGCTGACGTGGACTTCCAGTACAGACGCCACAGGTTCCCCTGTACTCTTCCTCTCTCCGTCTGACTCACCTGTAAGATTACGCCAGCCCTGCCTACCGTCTCAGAGCTGTGATTTCACCCTGAACAGTGTAATTATACAGCTCCAAATCCAAGCCTCCCCAAGTCAAAGGGCCAGAAAGGTCCAGTTTCTTTCTCTTTATACACACTCATGCATGCAATAAGTGTTTGTGCAAAAGGAGAGTTTGCAGAAAAAAATATTACATTTCGTATTGCTTGTTCAGTTACTTCTGGGAGGAAATAATTTACACAGATGTTAACAAAAAGTTTTTTTGAGTTTGAGTTCAAATTCAAATCATGCCCAACCTCCGTGTTTCTGATGTTCTATTATGTACCTTTTCAAATTTTAAGATTAATATCTGACCATTTTCCAAAAGGTAAACTGTACTTTATCTATATACAGAGTGAATAAACATTTTTTTCTCCTAAATGGTTGAGACACTATAAATGAAGTCATTTGAAACTTTTTAAAATATGCTCACTATAGTGAAATGCGTTGTCTTGGCAATTTGTGCAATTTTGTCGGCTAAAAGCCCTAAAAAGAAAAGGCGACGAAGTATTTGGACAGAGACATGGCTGAGCAAATGTGGCTACTACGGTCTGTCAATTTTATAGAAGGAGCTCCGTTTCACTCGCACCCCCGCCATACTTCAGTGTTTTCATCTGAGAGGAAGAAGAAGAAGAATCCTTGCGCATGCCCACTGAGCGATTTGCCCACAACGGTCAACTGAAAATCAAACATGTTTGATTTTCTCCCGACCAATCCCCATCCCTTCCTGATGGGGAGGTGGTGTAAGAGAGGCTGATCGCCCCTCGTTACCCCCTGTACACTACAGTGTGCACAATCAGGCTGAAAGTCGGCCAGATTGAAAATTTCTCGCACGACTGGAAAGTTGGCCCAAATAGGGCAAAAAATCACACAGTGTAAGCCCGGCTTAATAGAGTCCATCTGTGTTTAACCTGATCTAAGTATGCAGGTGTTTCCTAAAGGCCTCAGGTATTAGAGGACATTATTGAGCAAACAGTATAATAAAGAAGAAGGAAACAATTATCAGGGATTCAGCTGTGGAGATCTTCGACTCAAGGCTTTACTCTAAAATAATATACTACACTTTAAGAATTAAACATTTTACAGTGCATCCCTCTTCCAAAAATTGCTTAAATGCAAAACAATATGCATAGAGTCAATCTTACTGCAAAAAAAACAACAAAAAAAAAACAACATAAAACAACCACAATAGTGAAACACAGGGAAATAGGTCTTTCGTCACATACTAACATCCTGATCTCTTTTCTTTTTCATTTAGCAATAACTCAGTCCTATACCATAGTCCATGGTACCACCAGTGGCCCATTTTTTCCAGCCTAGGCTGCTCTACAAAATCCTACAGAATTTAGAATTAGCTTGCTTTTTTGTTTTGCTGCCTGCATTTTATAATGAATCTAAATCAGAGCTACATTTCAGCACATAAAGAGTTGAGTGAATGCATGGGAGAGCTTCTTAACTTATGGTTACATTTTAGGAAACTAAAATTGACTGAGCAAGTAAAGAATGCAAAGTCAACTAAAAAGAAAATATATTCCACCTTCATAACTCTTAAAAAGAATTACGAGATATTCTTTAAAGCATGCACTTTTGGTGCAGTTTATCTAATTAAAATATAACTAAAAGGAAATTTAATTAGCTCCTTTCAAAGGGTAAAAAAAGAATCACTAAGTGTTTTACAACAAGCAAAAAATTATACATGTAAGAAATTTGTTAGAAAATGGGAATCAAGTGATAGTAGGAAAAATATGATCTCAGTCGTTTGGGTAATTATGTCTAACCTGACAACAGCCAGATGCATGTCTCGCTCCGCCTACTGTAGCTCCACTCACATACATGAAGCTAGGCGGAGCGAGACATGCATCTGGCTGTTGTCAGGTTAAGTTATGTCTACAACATCGAAAAAACTTTGTTTTCCTTTCTTGTGAAAAAATGCACGCTTTCATCCTTAGTGCATGTGAAGATGCTCATAATAATATTAAATTCCCCTTTTAGCTTGTTGGGTCGTGTATGTATTTCCTTTTCAAATATTAACCCTTTAATGCTTTTTCTTCTTTTTGTTACAAATGTATCACTAGCTTTAATTTATGGATATCTGATGTGATAGACCAAAACGGAATAAAGCATAACTGTAAAATGCAGGAAAAAAAGATTACCGTAGATGTTTTCAAAGATTCTTCCAATAAAACTAAAAATAAACCCTTTGTATTTAGGCTAATTTATCTGTACAAACTTTACATGGTTTATTTTTTCCCATTTTCTTTTCAAAATAGTTGAATTTCAGTCTGACGGGACAGAGAATGTGTTTAAATAGTAATGTTTAAGTCTGATCAGATTCTTAATTGAATACAAGTGTGAGATTTGACTGTGAATCTATTTTTCCTTTCTTTATACCTAACCCATTCCATTGCAGGTCTGTATGATTAGGGCTGTAAACTTATGTACAATTTTACTCTCCTATCAGGGAATAATAGATATGTGCTACATAGAAATAAGTCTGTATTTGGATCGCTGGATGGAAAGGGACATTTTCTAAACGACAATGAAAGTAAGCTATCCATGAGGATTTTTGCTTACTGTATAATTTAAACTGCTCCTATGCTCAGTTTAACAATGTCATAAACTCTAATCCAGCAGTCAACATGTACTGCGCACTATTTCGGAAGGCTTTGAATACAACTTCTGGAATAAACTTCCGATCCTCACAGTGCAGGACACCCCATTTTGCAGGTCTCCAATGCAGGGTCCTGATAGTGGGGGTTTGGAGATTTGGCTTCCTCCTTCTCCCCATCATCCATGGCCAGCTTCCATGCCTGAAACAAAGCAAATCACCAAAGCATGATGATACCACCACTGTTGGGTGATGTATTTAAAGGGATTTCTAAGGAGCTCTTAAATGAAACTGCCCCCTCTCCACTTAACCTTATCCATAATCTCTCTGTGCTTTGTTCTTTTATCCTCATAAATCTGTTTAGTTACTAATGTGAGACTGAATTACACACAAGCAGATTCCTACTACTAATAAATTTGTTGATATTTTTCTTTAGCATTTTTTGCAGGCAATTTTCTTTAACAACATAATAGTGTATACAGCTGACCAAAAATGCATAAAATAGTTTAAAAACTTGTATCTTCTTCCTTTGAGTTCTTATTTATACTTTACTTTGTGTTGGTCTGTCATGTCCAGTCCAATAAAATACCCACATTCTAAAGATTGAAATGTAACGCTTTAATCCACACAGTAATCACTCACACTTCGCTCCCCTCACCCTGCCCCCACTACAAGACACATAGATGCCTAGAACATAACACTGGGACCTGCCTCAAGGCCATCATAGGCTCACACACACATTTTCACACCTACATCGGATGTATTAATATCTCCCCAGATTGTAGCGGCACTGTGATGCTTTGACATATGTGCAGTTAAAGGCATCTTAAATGTCCGTATCAATCTGGGGAGCTGTCAGCTTAACAATGATTGAAACAGAACACCTTCGCCGGCGTCAGGCAGCATCATTCTCATCCATGCAATGTTAGAGAGATAGACGGCTCTCTGCAGGACATTCCATTGGATCAGCTGAGCTAGAGCAATTCAGGGGGAAAGATTGCTGGAACTTTTAATTCTGTTGTGCTGGCACAAAGATTATTGTTCATAAGCCAGAAAGTCAATATCCTGTTTGATTTAATTGATTTCCTTGTATTGCTCTCTCTTAGTAATTCTTATATGCTTGTGACCGTGCTGCAGGATTGTCTTCTTCCTGCTGCACATAAAGCATAATACTTGGCTCTCCAGAGACGGGATATGTTTTGTTTTTTAGAGTCTTTCACACCAGCTCTTCCTATTTCTTTTTGTTAACACAATAGCCATCTCTTTTTTCACCCAGTGTGGAAACCCTTTCAAACGGGCAGCTCCAGGTCAGTTTCCTTGCCAAGTTTTGCAGCCTGCCATGTTGTCTATTCTGCTCAGCTATTTAAAAAATGTTGAATATCAACAATGGCTTTCAGTGGTGCATTGTCAACTTTTGTATGAAACAATCTTGGCTGAAAGAGATGGGTCCCAGAGCAGGGAGAGCTCAGCTGCAGTGTGCACTGCCCAAAGAAGTGACTGCCCAGCACTCTCAATGTTTCATACTTCTCTGCTGCGCCTTGGTTGTGCTGTTTGAAAGGCCGAGGCTAGAGTCTGAGCTGAGGTTGGTGTCTGGCATCTTTCTGTCCTTGGAGTGCTGCTTTTGGGCCTGCTGACAGTCAGCTGCTGAAGTCGGATCCAGCAGAGAAATTTGAAGGCAGAGGAACCCTCGGGAGCTGTGAGAGATGGGTGAGTGTCCTGAATTTTTTTCTGATCAGAGTGGGAGGAGGTTAGTGGGAAAGAGTGGAGAGGAAAGGGAGGGGGCATTCAGGAAGACGATGTCGGGGAGCTTTGTGTTCTTTAAGTTCCACTCTGCCCTCATGCGCTAAATTGTAAAGGTGATCCATTGCTTCACATTTGGAAATTAGGTATTTTCACGTTTCACCTTTTTGATCAGATTTTATATTTATAAGAAATGGAGGAACTAATCCTTTCCTGTGCAAAAAAAAAGAACTAACAGTCATTTTGATATTTTAACAATATCCATCATGCCTCCCATTTTCAAGACTCATCCCATTTTGATATCCAGGCTGATGCATGAGTGACTTTAAGTAGAGCTCTGTATTTATGTGTGTATTCTTAAATAAAAGGATGAAAGCAGGAGTGAGAGGCTTGCTTCCAGATAATAGTAGCTTAGGCTCTTTGTCCTGCTGACAGCCAGGAGAGGAGCAGAGGCTGGAAGTCTCCCTGATGCAACCGGCAGCGTCTTGTATGTTTCATTGACATATCAGTCTGTGGGGCAATGAGCCGTTGCTCCTGCACCCCTCGGCACACTTGTGCTTCACATTTGTCGGAGGTGTCTTTATGGAAGTGCAAACAAGCGGCACGACAATCTAACTCTTAGGTGTTGCTGAGAAAGAAAATTTGATGCAAGAGGAATTTAACTCACTTGATTTTATTAGTGCTGCAAACAATTAAGAAATGCTTTACTATCAAGTTCTAAATCAAATTTTGTCCTTATGTTTCCAGAATTTTTGCACAAAAAAAAGCAAATTACTACATTTATTAAAAACATTACAGAAACAACTTTATAGTTTTTAAGCAGAATGATAAAACTATTTTATTCAATTTCGATATTTTTGGTCTCAGATTAAATAAAAAAAAAAATATAATGATAATAGTTAAAAAGGTAAACATTTCGTTTAAAGAGGAAAAATCCCTTGCTGTTTTAGGAAACTGAGTGTTGTCCTCTGCCTCACCTCTTTGAGCTCAACCAGAAGCAAGGTGACTAAATTCATCTCAGTTCAGCCCATCCATTATCTTGTCAACACAGCCAGCTTTCCACCTTAGTTTGCTCTCCTCCCAGAAGACTTGCTTTAATGAAACGCAAAGTAATCACCACACTTATCTCGTCATGCTCAAGGTAATTAATATATTTAGAGGGCGATGGCTAACTCTTAATTAAATTAAGACCCTTTTAATGAGACCTTGGCTAGGACTGAATTTATGGCCACTATCTGCTTTATCAAGTGCTTGGCATGCAAACAGAGATTAGTCATTTTGTCCCAAATCACAACCAGATTGCACATTATATTATTCATGATTTATATATCAATTTATGCTTGTTTGTTTCTTATTTGGGGTTAATAAATTACCTCCTATAATTTTCTTCTTTAAAAAAAATCCTAGCTTCTGCAATTAATGCTCAGCAGCTATGCTGCTGTTACATTTTCATTCTGGAGGGGACTACAGATAACAAACTCTGGGATATTAATCATATTACAAAATTGGTTGTATCTAATTAATTACAGTAACACTGCAAATTAATTGTGGATTCTCACAATATTATCTTAAGCTAATGAAGCCCTGACAAAGGAAGTGTTTCATTTTTTTTTAAAGGAAGAGGAAGCTAGATTAGTGGGATCTCAATTATTGCTAAAACAAAAGAAGGCTGCTTGCTCGGGCACGGTGCAAAGCAAAATGTGACTATTCAGCACTTTCCCCAAAACAAAAAACCAAGAAAGTTTCTTTTGTTTTAGTAAAAATACTGAACATGGCAACGATTGGGCAGATACATGGGGAAATAATGAGGGCTGTAATTAACTGGCCAGGCAAATAATGGTACCTAAAGTGATCATCAAATAGAGGTGGTTGATAATGCCATTCAGTTTTTAGGCATCAGACCAGGCTTAGCCAAACATGTAAGCAATCTTTATTCATTTCAGCAGCTTGCATCTGTGATGGAAATGCATGTATTGAACATTAAAATCAAGTCTATATAAATCACATGTGATCAAAGAAGTTCTTTGTTTGAAAGTTCACCTATATGTGGTCATGTTTAATTTTAAATTTTAAAAGAATTTTTTTTTAACATAATGTGACAGTGTAGTTTTTATGAGATAAATAACATGTTTGAACCTTTAAGTGAACTACCGTAAATCACTATGTTTTATCTTTTTGCATTTTTCTCTTCAAATAAAACAATCCTTTCTCTTTTTTATAAACTCATGTTAGAACCTTCTACTTGAATGAAAACCTTAAAGAATTAATCTTGAAATTGAATATGAAGAAGGAAAACATTGCAAAAATATTCACTTTAGTCCATCTGCCATGTATTTAATAATTAATGTAGTTGGAGTGCTGTGGAATGGTCTTCTTCATTCAGCTTTGGTTTACAAGTTAAACACATTTTTAATAATCCATGGGCAAGAAAAAAAGCCAACCCCGCCCCCCCATCCCCCGATAAAGTTCTGCTTAAGACCCCCTACATACTGGGATCTGCTCTGCATTGGATATCAGAATTTTAATGCCTTAAGCAGAAAAGCATCCACAGGTTGTAGTTGAGCTTTTTTAATGTCATGTGCATTTTTTCCCCTGACATGTTAACAAAATGAATACCCTGTTTAAAATATTCTGCTGTATACTAACGTGCACCTTTTTCCTTCCCTTGGTGGAAAATCTACCACAAAGATGTCTTTGTGCACCTTGTGGGAAGTAGATTTTGCTTTAGATATATCCTTCTTTTAAAATGGTTATCAAAAAAATGCAAGTTTGTTTAATTCCTTATATTCAATGAGCTGAATATGTACACTTGATTCAGATCATTTTGAGACAGACATCAAGTTTATTTTAATCATGAGCTTAGCTTATTGTCTGTTTTCAGTGTGCTTTTAAGGAATAGAATTAATATATTTTTATTTGACAAAATATAACAACTTGACCATAATCCATAAAACTTGTTAATATTGATAATTATAAATTAAAATCCAAGGTGATATTTAATTTCTGGATTTTTTGTTAAAAGCATTGAAAAAACTAAAGAATCTTCAAAATCTAAAATTAACTCACAAAAGTATAGAAATCCTAAATGCAAACCCCCCATATTAGCACCTTAAGTTCTGACCTGAAGGGCCAACACAGAAGTCATGTCATGCAAGAGTGCCTTAACCCAGTAGCTCTGAGGCAGAAGCATATTTTCTGAATTTTTTTTGCTTAATTTAACTTGTATAAAATTAGCTTCAAATGGATGGGAACTTATAATTTACTTTGATGTTTTATTTTTCATTTAACGCATCATATACCAAATGTTGGATATGTTTCCCCTAATCTGCAAAGCAAAGGGTCAGTAATCATTGTATCTTAATGAAAAAAAAATGTCTCTACTGATTTCCTCTCTTGTGATATAATTTCATTTGGCTTCATTAGCCAATAACCACAGGGGGAAAATGCTTTTTGGCAATTATGAGAATTGGAGGGTCAGTGAGAATGGATTTTCACCCTGCTGCACATGATTATCTAAAGTGGCCTTGTCGCAGCGATTAACCCTGGGTCCATGTGTGTGTGGATGTGTGTGATTGACTGAGTTTGAAATGTGCATCCGTAAAATGATAAGCAGCTATGAGCCAAAGGTGATGAGGTGAAAAAACTGTTCCCCTTTGCCTGAGTGAGATGGAGCACAGTGCTGGGTGGTCACGCCTTGTCTGTTTGCGACAGTGGCGGGTTAAAGAGATACACAGGGTCTGTGTCAGCGGCCTTGGCCTCACACAGGCAAATAATGAGGAAGGACATGCTTGGCTGCTGAGGGAGAAAAATAAAAGAAGCTGAAGTTTGAAGCAGATCTCCTGTGTATTGTTTCTGGACGGACGAGGTCGATGAGCAAGACGCCTACATTCCTCATAGTGGTACGAGGTGAGCCTTGGTGTACAGGGGATGACACTTGTGAGCCAAACTAAGCAACAGATAAATCTCTTACAGCTGAGGGAGGAATGCAGTGTTCTCCATTAGTCCTCCAGACAGATGTGCACACTCCACTAAAGCTCTGAAAATCAATACATTTGTCCTCAAATTGTGTGTTTTGCTTTTATGTTTGAAGGTCTGGTGACAGCTCCTTTTTCTGATGGCTGAACCTCCCCTTACATCAGATGGACCAGCAGTCAGAGATGATGACCTGCTTTTGTCGGACATGAGGTACATTAAAGAATTTTACGCGAGCTTGGTGGTTTAAAAAATACCTTTTAACACAAGCGACTCCAAATATTTACTGATTCTGAACAGTTGATCGTCAAAACATTGATTTGTTTTAGGAGATCGAATTTTAAAGATTAAGCTTTAATTTTTCAGATTCATTAAACACAATGATGTATTTCATTATTATGGCTCATATCTAAAAAAAAATTAAACAAAAACTTGCAGAATATTTTAATAATACAAGGGGAATAATGCAATATATTTTTTATAAGGGGGGGGATTTCAATAAACTATAGAGTTGGATGAGTTAATAATAGTTAATAACACTGTAATTAAAACATGTATACAAACAATTTATTCTCCCAACCCAATTCTGAATGAGAGACCTACTACTTGGGCTCAGAAAAGACACGACCGGTCTGTTTCAGGGGCCAATTTTCTCTTTTCCAATTAACATTTAATTTGCTCTGTGTTTTGGAAACCTAGTATAGCAATGACTGGTTTCAACTGTCTGTAGAGATTCTGTTGTCGAGAGAAAGAGACCCCAGAATCAACAATGCAGCTGAAAGTTGCTATCAAGCAACCATGGGCATCATTACACGTCAGCAGAGCATTCATGCTAAACTGTATGAATCCAGTAATTCATTCATAAAAGTCCCAACAAAGTTCTGAGGGCCTCTGATTTACAGATGGATGTACTTTTCAGCAGATCAGCATTTGTGCAAGAATGTATTTTATCATTATTAATTTTCTGACATACTAAATACAAAAACAGTGAAACAAAGAAAATAAATGCTTGATATATTAATGATAATATCACTATGTGTGTAAATAATCTGTATAATAAGTTTTACTTTTTGAAGTTGATTATTGAATTAAATATTTGGTCATATTATTTAATTAATATATTATAATCTCTAAACATAAATTATGTTCTTTATTTAATAAACACTAATTCTCTTTATGTTTGACCAGTCTTTAAATTGTCTTAATCTATATTGGTGACAGTGCTAAAAAAAAAAAAAAAGCCTTAATACTGTTGTTGTTTTTTTTTTTTTTTTTGCATTTTTTTTTTCATTGAAATGCAAAATCTCTAAATATTTGTTAGTCTGCATTTGATCTGTGTTAGTATTGGTGAAAGTGCTTTAGATTTTGAACTAGAGTCGAATACATTAATTTAAGATTTCTTAAAAACAAGAACAAAATTGCCTTTATATTATCAGGAGTTTGATACTTGTAAACCAGAGGCTTTCTTTTTTTCCCCCTGCCATTAAAAAGCTATAGTGCTCTGCAATATTTCTTACCCAGTGCTTTCACTTTGCACAAGAGAGGGTGGTGCCTAATCCCTATTTACTGGAGAGAAACTAAAAGTAGTCTGACAGGAAAATCTTCCTTCAGTGCTCTCCTATAAAAACAAGTAGAAACCTTTGATCCCAACTATTGGTTGGTGAAGATTATAATTTGCCATAAAAGTTGAATCAAATAGGAGCCTTGTTGTCACAGGGATTTAATTTATTTATATATTCAGTCATTCATCTTGTGCAAAACTATGTTTTAAAAATCATGTAAAGACCCTTTATTCGAGGTGCTGACGTTGCCTTATGCATTTATTTTCAGGCTGGCAGGACTTAAAATATAAATGTAATTTAGCCCATCTCATGAGTTATTTCAATAAGAAAGTATAACACAGAACACATCAAGATGTTTAAGATGTTGAAAATTAAACCTTTATCATTTTTTTCTCTATAAAGACAAACAAAAACAAAATTTTTTGCAGATAAACGTTTCAATAAAATAAATAAAATCGTAGAAATGTATATATTACAAATCTGACAATACCTGTTGACTGAATGGGTATCACCGATCCATTCATTTTCTTGAAAGGCACTCTGGTCTATTGCTTACTGCAAAAAAATCTAATCCCAGAGATTAAGTCAAACGCCAGGAAAGAGAATTACAATGTTCCTTGACTACATTACAGATTAAAAATCCTAATCATTAAAATGCATCATTTTTATTACCAACCGCGGCTCTTATTGGTCAGATAAGTCAAATTATCATTAGGACTACCAGCGCAGCTTTGTGCGACAAAGAGGCGATAAGACCAACACTTTTATTCCTTTAAATGACCCGTGAATATTATTTTTACCTGCGCTGAACTGGGGAGGACGCAGCCATTCACGCCACACAAAGGGAACAGCAGACCGTGTGTAAATCGCATCTTCATTTGCATCCCCGGTCCCTGCAAAAAAAAAAAAAAAAAAAAAAAAAAAAAAATCATGCAAATCTTAATGAGACAGTCTCCATTGTGTTTGTAATTGAAAAGCCATTCTTTGTTAATTACTGTTTCTCAAAGGGACCCCGTCCACTGGCCACTGAGCTGAAAACAAAACTGTAAGAAAGAAGTTACTGATGCCGGATAGAAAATGTAGAAAAATGTGTTTATCGTTCATTTAAAAATTTACTTCCAATTAAAATGAACGTGCTGTGGTAGGATAGGTCCAAAATAATTAAAAGAACACATCCAGCAAATAAATGCACTAAATTAGATTCAATATATAACTGAGTTTATATAACGTCTGAAATAATAAAATGTTGCCTGAACTTTCTCAGAGGAGAACATATATGTTTTATATACTTATTTTAAATTTAAGCTTTGGGAAACGTCCTGATTAATTTTATTACATATATGTATGCTTAATCTGTAATAATAATAATAATAATAAAAAAACTATTAATTTTAGTAGTTTTAATGTGATTGTCAGATTTTACTATTTAAGGATGGACTGGGATTGTGTGTTTCGCGCTGCATGAGCTTGATTCTAATTGAAAAAGAAAAATAGAAGATTAGCAAAGAGTGAAGTTTAAGTCAAGACTTCCACATATTTCCCAACATTCAGCAGCAATGCACCCTGAGAGCCCCCTCAGGGCTGTCAGGGCTTGTTGAGCCTGAATCAGAGCAAACTGTGCTGGTGGTCCCTCCGTTCCTTAATTAGGAAATTAGCTGCACAGAGACCCTCATTATCAAACTCCAGGTTACTCCTGACTATATTCTCTCTCTCTCTCTCTCTCTGCTACTGGTCAATTTCCATAAGGAGATTACAAGCGGATCAGCATTGAGATTTGCGCAGATAAACAAATAACCGGTCCCTGAGAATTAGATGACTACTAATTGGACGTTAGTTTTATTGCCCCCGTGCTGTTTGTTCCGCCCCATTGAACGGGAAAATGGAATCCGTTCGCTGATGTCTCTTTTTGAGCGGATTTCTATGGCTCAGGACAAATACTACAGTTGGATCTGTCCCCCTGTTCTGCCAGAAAACACTTAAGTGTCATTTAGTCTAATTTTCAGACATATCTTAAAAAAAATAAATAAAAAATGTAGGGCTATACAAAGCAAAATTTCCTTTTGTGGCTTGTAAAAAAGGCAAGAGTTTCATTTGACTTTAAATTATGGAGAGAAATTCAACTAATGTGTTATGCAATAAATTAAAGTCGGAACAGTTCAAATTTAAAAAAAAAGGAGCGCGTCTCGGTTTACTATTTTTTTGTGGCGCAAACCTGCGCGTTTTATTTGTTTGATGCGCTCCTCCCGTAATGCCGCGCTGATCAGAGCCCCACAGTGGCTGCATTTTTATCTTGTAAAAGCTCCAGGAGGTGAGTTCGCTCCAAGATGCACCCAGCAGAGCTCCCGTAGATACTCAGGTGTTAATCGCTCGTTCCTGATGGTCGATTCGTTTCTGGATCATTAGCAGGTGTGAGATGTTTCACTCGCTTAAGGTTTAGTTTCAGGAGAGAGGGTCGTTTGTAAAGGCCACACATGCAAATAAAAAAAGCAAAGGGGGGGGGGGGGTCTCCATGCTGAACGTTTTGCGCAAACAGCAGCTGACAGCGCCTTAAAAAGGTATGGAACTGACTAAACTTTTCCTCATGGGACCAAAAAAAGAAAGAGCCCTTCTCCTCCACAAGAGGTCGTTAATGTATTAAAATTCCAAAATAAAGGGTCCCTGAACGCAGCAGAGATTTAACATTAATTTAAGTCGTATTTCCTTTAGAACCCTGCATTTTAAAAGAGATGAACCGAATTCAAAATCAAAATGAGTAGCAATTCTTGTATTTTAAATTCAAAAAGCATGTTTGCATGCTTCATTGCATTACAAAAAAAGTTTGATAATTTCCTCCCCAGGGATATTTATGTTGAATATTATCTAATACAAAAAAGGACTAATTTAGAAAAAGTCCCGTAAAAACTAATCCGAGTCTGTCCAAAAGTGTTTGAACAAATAGATAAATAGATCAGTTGAATCTGTTTAAATGTGTCTAAAAACGAACTTAATGCAAACTTTCTATTGAAATGATGTAGCTATAATATTATTCATAATTTTAAAGTTTTTTTTACTTAAAAGTCATCAATATAATTTCAAATAAAACATTTCTAGCTATCTGACATAAATTGTTTTATCTAATTTTATGTCCGCTTAGGTCTCAAGCAAATGTAGCCTTTTGGCACAACTTATATTTTACTTCTTAAAATGATCCGAAATCTAAGTTAAATCTAAGTTAATTTTATTATAGGCTATGTATCAAAGTTTAATTAATAATTATGCTAATACTGATGATTATAATAATTGTGTCCCCATGTAAAAAAAAAATGAAAGAGAAAAATATGCTCTCTAGAATAAAGTATATATTAATTAGAGAATAAATCCCTGCATTTCCAGTCTAAATTCCCATCCTCTGCTTCTAAATGCTGTCATTTCTGAGCCCTTGTAGCTGAAGTGCGCAGCAGTTTTAAATCTTCACCTCCTTCCCTCCCCCTCCAACCTTAAAACGCACTGAAGCGCTCGCAGGCCGGAGCTGCGCTCTGATTGGTCTGCTTCCTCTCATTGTCAGCGCGTCAATCCGTATCACGTGGTCCGGCCTCTGGGCCTATTAACACATGAGCTTGGAGAACAAGTTTACAGACTTGTGTTTGAGAGCCGAGAGGATCTGAGCTGCTCTGAGCGGACACAAACCAGAGGCACCTGCGCACACTTGCTGCTCCAGGCAGAACTTTCCGACCTCTTTGACTTTTTTTTTTCTTAGAGAGGGTTTGTGAACTTTTATTTATTTATTTTTTTCATGTGCGTGTGAGAGATCTACAGAAGTCGTCTTAATGTATAACATGATGGAAACCGAGATCAAGACCCCGCTCCCGCAGTCCAACTCGGGCTCGGCGCCGGGCGCAAAGAACAGCAGTGCCAGCGACCAGGAGCGGGTGAAGAGGCCGATGAACGCTTTCATGGTCTGGTCCCGGGGACAGAGAAGGAAGATGGCCCAAGAAAACCCCAAAATGCACAACTCTGAAATCAGCAAGCGGCTTGGCGCAGACTGGAAACTTCTGACAGACGCCGAAAAAAGGCCGTTCATTGACGAGGCCAAGCGTTTACGCGCAATGCACATGAAGGAACACCCGGATTATAAATACCGGCCCCGCAGGAAGACCAAGACCTTGCTCAAGAAAGACAAGTATTCTCTGCCTGGAGGGCTGCTGGCGCCAGGAGCCAACCCCGTCAACAACTCTGTGTCGGTGGGCCAGCGGATGGACGGTTACGCGCACATGAACGGCTGGACGAACAGCGCGTATTCCCTGATGCAGGACCAGCTGGCCTACCCTCAGCATCACAGCATGAACAGCCCGCAGATCCAACAGATGCACCGGTACGAAATGGCCGGCCTTCAGTACCCGATGATGTCCTCGGCGCAGACCTACATGAACGCGGCGTCCACCTACAGCATGTCTCCAGCTTACACGCAGCAGAGCAGCAGCGCCATGGGGCTGAGCTCCATGGCGTCCGTGTGCAAGACGGAACCCAGCTCACCCCCGCCGGCCATCACGTCCCACTCTCAGCGGGCGTGTTTGGGGGACCTGAGGGACATGATCAGCATGTACCTGCCCCCCGGCGGGGACAGCGCAGAGCATTCCTCCCTGCAGAGCAGCCGGTTACACAGCGTCCATCCACACTATCAGAGCGCAGGGACTGGCGTCAACGGGACGCTACCTCTCACCCACATCTGAAGAAAAAAAAAAAAAATAATTAATAGACTTTCAAAATGTTCTTCGGATACTTGAACTTTTCTCGGTTGCTGCAGCGAAACGTTCAGCAGATTCGTTCAAGAACAATTTGATCTGAAATCCCTGACGCGTCCGTTTGATGAACTTTAAATGGACCGAAACTGAACGCTGAGCCCAACTCCACAGAGGCTTTTTTTTGTTTTTCATCACAAAGTAGAAGCAATCAACATGTGTAGAAGAATTGGACTTCTATATTTTAAATAAATGCCATATTTTCTCGCTTTGAAAAAAGGCATGTGGACTCATGAAGGGGCTGGTGTATTTCAGAAAATAAGTTGGATGGACACTCTGTTCATAAATGTTTACACTTAATTTGTAGGATGTCAGTCGTCTCCACTGTGTTCACAGCCTTTGTAGATTCCCCTTTTTTTTCTTTTATTTTTTATTTCTTCCCCAACATGAACTAGGTTAAATAAAATGTTAAAACTGTGCCGGTCGCAAACGCAAGTTTTATTTATAGCAATTTTTTTTTTTTTTTCCTTTAATAGCTTGTGCAACCAGATGTTTTGTCATGTGAAAATATTCAACATTTTTTTTGTAAATCTGTTTTTGTTCTGTGATGTTCTTTTTTTTGACAGAGTCATGTTTACTCATTTATCCTGAACGAAAAAAAAGGTTTATTTAAACTGACGTTTCTACGTATTTTAAGACCATCCTCTATTCTTAAATGCTGAATAAATTTTTAAGAAACGTAATTTTGCCTCAGTGTTTTGTTTAAAAAATTAGAAGGGATGTTAAAAGGAGGGTTTTGTGCAAAATGAGGAAAAATGTCTCAAAGATGTGTGAAAAACTGAATTGACATGTTGTGAAAATGATATACCTTTAAAAATATGCAATCTATATTTTTTTCATTAAAATTTGTGAAGATCTATACATTTTTAGGCATGACATTAAAAAATTTTTATTTTCCAAATGAAAGTGTTCTTCAAAGTTTTAGAAATATTTTAAATAAGTATTTAACTTGTTATTTAGAGCAATTTACATTCAAGCTACAGTCTTCTACTTTATAGATCTATATTTTTAGATTTTTCATAAAGTGCTGTTGTTCCGTTCTTTTACTTCATTTTAAATTCAAGCGCTTTTTAAAAATAAAATCTAGCTTTTATCAGAGTTAAAGCCAAGCTGTATAGCTTCACTTTACATAGGTTAACTATCAAGTTAACTTGTAATTCATTTTCTTTTCATTTCATTTTTAAAATTAATATTATTTCAGCTTTTTAAAATATAAATATAATTATCAATATCTTGAGTCTTTAGGTCTCCCATAAAAGAGTAAAGTAGGAATTTTCTTTTAAAGATTCCTGTTTATGTATTAAAGGTTTTGCAATAGTGCAAACAAAACATTTAGATTAGAAAATATAATATAAATTATTGTTTTAAACTAATATTTCTATCTTCAGGGTGTCTTCTTTTAAAGATAAATGTGGAAAGAAAATTAGCTAAAGCTGTAATATACTGAAATATGTGCACTAAACTTCACAGCATCTATGAATATAGCCACACTCATTGCTGCTGTTACTATTATACACAGGTGCAAGGAAGAATGGGCCAGCCTGCTGTTGAAGTGTACCTAAGGATAAATAAGCTGCGGCCACAAAGAGGGCCGAAGCAGCATGGCCTCTCTGGCCTTCCCACACTCCCTGCAGGAATGGATCCATACAGCTCAGCGCAGCAGCCTGGATTAGACCCCACGTACCTTTGTGGAGGGAAAGATTATCCAGACCTCCCTGCATTCACTGACAGGGTTTAAGTCACTCTAGCATGCCAGCAGCCACCCGTCACTTAATCGCGCTCTCAAACTCCTTTTTTTCCCTTTTTTGTTGAAATTAAGCAGCTTTTCTGGTGCTGCTCCTCAGAAGTGTGTGGACAGAGCAAAGGTTAGTGATCAGTAATGAAACTGCAGGATATCTTCTCTATACTGGGATTTGGGAGTAAATTTGAGATAAATAGTTGAACCTTCTACTTGAGATGTGGAGAGAAACTGTGCTTGTTTCTATGCATGTTCTCTAACTGTAGATTAAGACTGAGACCATTTTTAGGGGAGAAAAGTGTTAGGCAGAGCTGTGAATATGCATGATGTGTTTGAATATTCTGGCAGTTAGAACCTCTGAATTCAACTTGCTCCCCCTCCTGCTGAGTGCCCAGAGGGCCTCTCACCCCTGTCCTGTGGAACTCTGTGCCCACTCAGCAAGTGCAGGCATATCCCACTTCCATCTGCCTATGACCTCACAGCCCCTGTTTGTTTAACCCTCTCTCCAAAAAACTAACCTAATTATAGCCCTGTAGAACATGGATCCAGAAGATTCCCAGTGGATTTCTCCACTATGTGTCTACCTCTCACATGGAGGACTGAAACCAGGGGCCATGTTTTAGTCGGTCCTGTTTTTCACTCTCCCCTCATATTATGTCAGAACATGTTCTGCCAGTAGCACATCTTGCATGAGTACTCAAAAAAAAAAAAAAAGGTGGTAAAAGCAGAAGCGTGCTCCAAGTTTCCTCATTTACGTCAGAGTGATGAGTGGAAAAACTCATTAGACAGATCGCGCTGACAGAAGGACATTTGTGACATCACTAATTCACCTGCCCCAACCGGCTGGGCAACCCTGCAGTCGGAGTGGATCTTCCACCCTCATTTAATCACAGTCTGTGATCTGGTTACTCCCTAAAGCGTGGATCAGAAATCACAGTGGTTTGGGTGTAACCGATGCATGCGGGTAAGGGTTCCACCTAAGATTCAGATTGCGTTGTTTTCTTTGGCTTGGACCTTTAATATAGGCCTGGGAGTGGTAGCTCGGATAGCCCGTACAGCACAGACAAGCCGGTCCAAAGTGGAAGGACTTGTGCGAAGTTCTTGGATTGACAGCAGAGTGTACGAGGTTGTGGAGGTGTGGGGGTTGGGGATGGGGGTTAATCTCCCTGAACCGGGGCAGATGTTGTTAACGAGCTCCTCTCAGGTCGACTCCCTGCGTGGGAAAATGGCATCAAATCCTGCTGGGGTCAGGGCTTTTGGGCTGACCCACTGAGAGCCATCCCTTTTCACTCCACTGTCCTCTCCATCCCTCTTCATTTACTGGCAGCACTCACCAGAGACACTAGAAAATCAAATCTGACCGACTTTGTAGCTCCAAGAGCATGTAGAAGTTTCAAGTCCTCTCTTGAACTTATGTTGGCAGCAACAAGGCATCTTGCGTGATGTTAATGTCTCATTAATGATAACTGTGGCTGGATCACAGTCAATGACACAACCACAAGGAATGCTGAGTTGGAAATGCTTCAAAGACAAGCATGCCGCTGTTCTGGAAAATGCATCCGCCCAGCTGCAAGCTACAGGTTCTTGTCTCTGTAGAAAGTGAGTTAGTTGCCTTACAGGCCTTTATGCACCAAATACTAAACAAACATTAACATATGCATTGTCAAATATTTCTTAGAAAGATTCATTAAATTTTGCTTTCATGCATTATTAAATTGTCAATAGTCTTGATGATTACAAGTAAACCATTCACACAATTTATTTTAATGTAATTTTTTTTCCAAAGTTGGTTTTGCTTAGAAGTTCAAATGTCATTAACAAGTTAAAACTCTTAACTTTAACCTAATTGAAAGAAAGTCAAGTTGTTTTCAGATAGGAAATTATTGAACAAGCACAACAAAATTCTTAAGTTCTGCAAGCCAACCTGCAGCAATGTGGATTGGTTTCAGGCTGAGCTATACAACTGAAACTAACAGGTTTCAGTGGCTGAAGATCAAGGAGGACACAGCTACTAAATGATCAAGAAAGAAGTAAAACATTAAAATAAGTCATTTTTTATTAGCCTTAATACTATACAACACTACTTCAATGAGAACATTTGATACAAAGAACAAACCTAAGTAGAGACTTAAAAGAAATTATTTATTTGTAGAAATACAGCCCATTTGTTATATAAGCTGCTAAATAAGCTGCTAAAATCCAAAACATTATAAACATTTTAATTCCCATTTTTTTCCCAAAACATCAATAAAATCCTGAAAAGTTGAGCATGTGTTTCAGCCCTAGGAGATAGTAATTCCTAGAATAATTTGTACATCAAACACAGCTATAAATCTTTAAAGGCAAGTCTTTTATAGCTTCGTAGTGGACTGAACTCTAAACTGGACTCTGCATCACAATCAAAACATTACTTTGCACCACGAATGGGGCTGAAACTTTTATAATCCTTTTAAATAAGACACAACTCAATGTTCTTCTGCATTTTACACCATATTTATTTTGCACTGCACTGAACATTTCCGTATTACTGCCCTTTTGCACCATTTGTTTTCAAAACCAGTTTTCCTTTTCTCCTATACTGTTTACATGCATGATCACTGCTGCACTTTAAAAGGTAATGTTCATTTCACTGATGTAAGCTACTCGTTTCACAGTTGAAGCTGTAGCGACGTAATTTCTTTTTGTTTACACTCGATGTTTACAAAATGACAATAAAGTTTGTCTAAGTCTAACAAATTGTTGCCCATGATTTTCTATAAAACAGAGCCAGGACAGTCAGATCAGGAGTGGCAACATACATTGTTTTTTAGTCTTGTCACATATTCTTATTTGCACATGTGTCTGGACTAGAATCTGTTTATTGTTACTAGAGAGCATGTTCAGATCTAAATAACTCAGTTGTAGCTCTGGTTGCATGTATATAGCCTTTGTAATGCTGGAAAGTAAACTCGGCCCCACTTAGAAATATTTTACTTCCATGAACAGGTTTTCTTTCATAATCAACCTGCATTTTTCTGCACCCTTTTCCCATTGAATATGACGAGCTTCTTAGTCTCACGTTTCCTGCATATCTTATAAGGTTTCAGGATAAACAAATTTCGAAATTGATATTAACACAAGGAAAATACTTGATACCTATTTTCAATAGTGTGGTTACATTTTTTGAAAGCACAGGTTTATTCCAAACCAAGAGCAAAAATATATAAATAAAGCAAAATGAAGTAAAACAAAACAAATATTAATAATGTGACAACCTTGACTCCAATTTTAATTGTGGCTTAAGTAGACACAAGTGTAAAAATGAGGGAAAAGTTGCTTATAGGTTTTTAAATAGGTTCAAATGAATACGGTAATAATAAGAAAAAAGTAGGAAGGTCAGTAACGTTTTAAAACATGTAATAAAGTAAATACATTGGAAATAATGAATTAGGTGGTACATTTAAGAGTATTGGTTTATATATTTATGATTTTATTTTGAAATTTGTCAGTATCAGTATTCTATTGGTTCAGCCCTTCTTTGAAGAAATATACAACTTCAGTTTCACTGCCCTATTTGTTCTGTTTTTTTACTATTTTTTTTCTGACTGAGCCATCAGCTGATTAACAAATTCCTGTGTTGATTTATACCACAAGCTCAACTGCAGCATGGTTGAAAAATGCACACCTGGGAAACAAATTTCAAAGCAGGAGCTTAGAAGTGACAGAACTCTATCATTGGGCTGTCTGTCTCTGTTAAGCTAATACCAGCAAGTGTTTGCTTATGTTGTCTGGAAGGTTTTCTACTTCATTATTGCAGATACTAGAGCTTTACTGAGCTTTTTACATTGCCTCAACCAGATTTTAAAACTTATATTATTATTATAGTCTGAAGCGTCAGTGAGCAGAGGGGCTGAGCTAAAACAAAAGTGTAATAATTTGGGCTACTGTGAATTGGGTCAGCTTAAA